TTAAAAAAAATAATGTTCATTTATATGAACTCACTTTCTTATAAATGCAAAAACTCATGCAAGTACACATTTCAAATGTAAAGCAAATATTTAAGATTTTTAGCACCGAAAGGGATCAGAAATGGCTCAATGTTGATTGTTTTTCCCCAATTTTCTGTTCATGGTTTCTTTGCAGGAACTTGTTTTTATATTTAAAAAGATTATGTTTAACAAAAGATATATATGGAATTCTATCATGTTTAAAATTTTATGGATAACTAATTGATGATTTTAAAAGATAAAATATTAAGTTCCACTTAAGATAAACTTTAAAAAGATTAAGTTGAAAATATATAGAAATTCTATAACAAACTAACAAAAGATAAACATAGATCGTTAAAAAAATTATCATCTTTTTGGGATATTTATATCCCAATTCTTTTTTTTTATTTAAATATTTTGTTATCTTTTATTTGAATTTTCATTTAATAGTTATATTTTTATTTTTGTTATATTTTTCATCTATATTTATTTGTTATTCATATTATACATAATTACCTTTTTATTTTAAAAATCATTTGACTCGTAATATTTTTTTATTTAATTTTTTTAATTGTTCATATATAAATAGTTAACTTTTTATTTTTATAATTAATTGAATCGTAATATTATTATTTATTTATTTATTTTTTTTTATCTTTTATTTGACTCTTTATATTATTTTGTAGTTGAAATTTGAATAGTTATCTTTTTATTTTATTTATTTTAGATTATGTTTAAACAAAAGATATATATGGAATTCTATCATGTTTAAAATTTGTATGGATAAGTAATTGATGATTTTAAAAGATAAAATATTAAGTTCCACTTAAAGATAAACTTTAAAAAGATTAAGTTGAAATATATAGAAATTCTATAACAAACTAACAAAAGATAAATATAGATCGTTAAAAAAATTATCATCTTTTTGGGATATTTATATCCCAATCTTATTCTTTTTTTTATTTAAATATTTTGTTATCTTTTATTTGAATTTTCATTAAATAGTTATATTTTTATTTTTGTATATTTTTTCATCTATATTTATTTGTTATTCATATATACATAATTACCTTTTTATTTTAAAAATCATTTGACTTGTAATATTTTTTTATTTAATTTTTTTAATTGTTCATATATAAATAGTTAACTTTTTTATTTTTATATTTAATTGACTCGTAATATTATTTATTTATTTATTTTATCTTTTATTTGACTCTTTATATTATTTTGTAGTTGAAATTTGAATATTTATCTTTTTATTTTATTTATTTTATATTTTTATCTCTACCTCTTTGTTGCTCATATTTAAATATTTATCATTTTATTTAAACATATATAATTCTTTTGGCTTTTGAGATTTAGATAATTGACAAATGATTAAAAATTAAGAAAAGTGGGAGGGGAGAATTGAAAAGTGACACATAAGAGAGAGAATTCATAAGAATTTAGTATTAAGAGTTTGGAGAATTCTAATACTCTACTACATATATATAATATCATATGGATATGATTTTTTCAAAATATTTATACATAAAAGATGAGTTTGACTCTAATTCAAATTCCTTCATCAAATTTGATCTCTTAAAAAACTCCAAATTCCCAATCCTAACATCTCATTATACTCTTTCTTAGGTGGCACGTTCATTCTTTTCTCATTCTATTTTCCTGTTTTTTTTTCTCTTTTTTAATATATTTTATTTTACTTTTTAATTACTTAGGACATGGATATATATAATATCATACGGATAGGATTTTTTCAAAATATTTATAGATAAAAGATGAGTTTGACTCAAATTCAAATTCCTTCCTCAAATTTATATCCTACTCAAAGATATTTCAAAAAAAATAAATTAATTAAACTATAAATCTCAAAACCTTGCTTCCATAACAATATGAAATTGGGCAAAAATATTGGAGAACAAAAGAACCCTGCAGAGATATTAAACAGATGATTTAACCAATTTTGTAAGATTTTTCTTATCTAAAAAGAAATATATATTTGAAATCTCATATTATGTTTTTTATTCTATTTTTTCTTTTGCAGATTTTTTTGTTTTTTTTAGTTTTGGTTTATTTTGTGTATTTAATTTTTTTTCTTCATAATTTAAGTTAGTTGTTGAAATTATAATAATGTAGTAAATGTGTTTATGCCTCCAAAATTTATTATTCATTTTTTTAAAATTTTAAAATTACAACGTACAGGAAAAAAGTAGCAATGACAACGAAAGACTAAAAGACCAATACAAAGGGTGATGTTTTGTCATGCAGTTGGAGTTCATCCATTTTTTTGCGAAAAATTGTACCAATCAAGAAGAGTATTTTGTTCTTCAATTATAGTAATTTATGTGTTTGATTTTGTTGTAATATATAAGGAGGGCACACAATTTAAATTCAGAGGTAAATAAACTTAATTATGTAGTAGCTCTAAAATATTTTTGCTAATATTCTTATTTTTTTATTTGAAATCTTCATGAGTTTAAATTTGTTTCCTTGCATAAATGTAGTGAGCAGGATTAAGTTTTTAAATGATAAATTTCTCTTTTGCAGTAAAAATTCAACTGCACAAAGGAATATTTGAAGCACAAGATTGGATTTCAAAATTCTTAATGAATATACAAATAAATTACTTAATAGCGACAAGCCATAATATTAACCCATTGTTAACAATAATTAACCCGCAAAATTTTACAATAAAATTTGATATGCATAAGAAAATATTAATTATAAAAATTGTTGAGAATAATAGTATCACAATCACTTGATAACATAAATAACTTGTATCAAACTAAACAAAACATTAAAAGAGAGAAATTCTATAAGCTCAGAAAAGTTATCATAAATTTACTTGGACTTTTAAATCAGTGGTGTATATTATTATTGTAGGATCAAATTATGAATAAATATCAATTTTTAATTATAATTTATAAGTAGTTTTTAAACAAATTTAATCTAAGTTTGTTGCCTTACTTATAAAAAGAACTTCTCAAACAAATCATTAATTGATTATATTAGCAACTCTCTATCTTTGATTTCCTCTATCAATGACACACTCATATCATATCAAAGTATAAATCATTCTCCATAGTTTGAATAATACTTGCATAGTTCATACGTTATTTTAAAAAAATTAATCAAGATAAGAATGTCATAGTATTATAAAAATTATATAAGAGAATAGTTTTAATCCATTTTATTTTAAAAAAATGATAAAAAAATTATTTGAATTGTACTTGAAAAAATATAACAAATGATAGCTTTAATCATTATATACCCAAAAAAAAAATTATATCGGTTACTCAACGAAAAAATGGTCAAATACAAATAGAGTCATGAACATTGAATTAAATCATATGAGCTCTAAATTGATAGTATAATCTAGCAAATCAACTAATAATAACATACAGATATTGACAAATATGTAGTACTTCCCTATCATCTTTGTATTATATTCACTAATTTCATATATTATATGAAAGTTTTATTCATCTCGATCCTTCAATAAAATAATGATCAAGAAAACAAATTTGATAAGAAATTGATTCTAAACTTAATTATTGAAAAAGCAAAAATTTCAAAGAGAGAATTTAGAGATGAGATTGAAGAAATACTATAACGAATGACAGTCTTATAAAAAAATTAAAAAAAAAAAACACATAACAATGATCTAATGCAAATTATTTTTAATAACTAATAGAACGAATCTCAAATTATTACATTTTATAAATATAGTAAAGAAAATTAATTTTGTGAGATTTTTGTGTTACCTTCTCCCATGTAGCCTTTATTATTTCATTATTAATACTATTCTCATTCAGAGCGATTTTTTTTTTTTTTTTATAATCTTTATCATTTGGTAGATAATAACGAATAATAAAAATTATCATGAGAAGGTTAAGAATTTAATAGGAGATAAGAAATTATAGATAAGAACATTTCATAAGATAAAAAATTTAAAATAAAAAAAGATAATATGTGATAGGAGAAAAAAAAAATGAGTAAATCAAAATAAAGATTTAGATATATATGTTTTTGATAGATATATAGATTAACAAATCATATCTTTATCTAAATTTTATTATTTTAATTTTTTGAAAATAAATTATTTAATCTTTATCTTTATCTTTATCTGTAGGTCATGAAATTAATCTTTATAAATTATTTATCAATTTTTATATGTTTATTTATCTATAAGTCATGAAATTATTTTTTTAAACAATTTTTATCTTTATCTATAGGTCATGAAATAAATTTTCATAAATTATTTATGAATTTTTATATGTTTATCTATAATGAAATTAATTAAAGTATGAAATGAGGGGGGGGGAAGAGAGTAATTTTGTTTTTTAAAATAGATAGATAGATATGAAATATATTATGTAAACTAATATTATATATTATGTAAATATTTGATAATTAGTTAGAATATTTTTTAATCCGTCAATTCACCCAAAATTACCTAAACTACGATTTATCAATCTATTAATCCGTCATTAAATTTAAAATTTTATTTTCAAATTATCCAAATAACACTGCGGACACCGCTGGCTGTAAATTTTTCTGTGAAAAAATTCAGAAGAAAAGTTACACCCCAATTCTTTTGCGGATACTGAAAAAATTCAAATATTTCTCACCTTGCACGTGCTTTTCACACTTTAACGTAAAAAATAAAGAGATTATTAAAATTAGCGTAACCAAGGGGGTTGGACATCACACTCTCCCTTCTTTCTCTCTTCCTTTTCGAGTAACAACGCGGAAGAAGATTTGAAGATTCTCGGTCTGTTTCTCTCTCACATTCCCAACACTCATCTTAATTTCTTGGAAAATTCTAAAATGCACAAAACGCATAAAAAAGACTAGAGAGAGAGAGAGATGTGCCCATTGTGGGGTCCTTTCGCTTCCTTTGAACTGGTCATTACTTGAATTTTCTTCTCCTCTACCTATAATTGCTATGACCATCTGTGAAAAAAAACCAAAAAAAAAAAAAAAAAAAAAACCAATTTACCTTTTTCCCCAGTCAAAAATTCCCTTTTCCCCCCTACTTTCTCCCCCTATATCTTCCTCTGATTCCTCTAACTTCGTCACTGAGAGTATTTTCCTTAAGAGATTCCCAAACTTAGGGGAAATACCCATAACCTCAAATTCAAGTTCTTGATGCTTATTCACCCCCCCCAAAAAAAAAAAAATTCTTGATGCTTCAGTTAGTTTTATCACATTCCAATCATTTTCTTGAGTTAATGTACGTAGTTTTTGTGATCTCACTTGCTAATTCCATGTTTGCAGTTTCTGGGTTTTCATTTTTAAGCTTTGTTGTATCCCCTTCCAAGCACTTTCTTTGCTACCAAACATTCCCGTATTGTTGTTTCTCCTTCTAACCTGGAATTGCGGTTGTATCTTCTTGACCTGAATTGAATTCACACCAATTTAGCCCTTCTCAACTTCATTGTTGCAGTTTCTGGGTGTTTCATTTCTAAGCATTGTGTTATTCCTTTCCAAGCACTTTCTTTGCTACCAAACATTCCCGTATTGCTATATTTCCTTCTAAAAACTTGAATTGCTTTTATGTCTTCTTGACATGATTTGAATTCACTCCAATTTAACCCTTCTTCACAAACTGAGCCAAAAAACCAACAAACCGAACAAACTTGAGCCAAAAAACCGACCAACTGAACCAACCCGAGTTTAAAAAACCCATGAACCGAGCCAAAAAAACCACGAATTGATCCAGCCCGAGCCCCAAAAGAAACAGCGAACCAAATCAACCCAGTCAAAAAACCAACAAACCGAACCAACCCGACCTCTTGTGATAATCTTTGTGCAGTTTCCAAATGGAAAAGCTCATGACTTGGGAGCAAGAGAGACTAATCAATGAGTTAAACCAAGGGAGAGAGCTGACAAAGCAGCTCAAAAACCATCTTGACCCATCAGCATCTCCTGAATCACGTGAGTTTCTGATTCAGAAGATACTTTCTTGCTATGAAAGATCAATTTCAATGCTCAATTGGGGAGCTCTAGTGGGAGAGCTTCATAAGGTAGATGGCACCTCTGAAACCCCACAATCTCAGCTTGCTGGACATGGTAGCCCAATGACTGATGCTTCTGATAAAGACTTTAAAGATCAATGCCACAGAGATGTCTATAAGAAGAGGTGAGTTTAGGCCTCAATCATTGATGGGTTTGTGTAATTAAGCCAATTTTTTGGATTGAATTTGGACTAAATTTGATTGGGACGATTTTGAATTTGCAGAAAGACATTGCCGCGATGGACTCAACAAGTTAGTGTTTGCTCAGGAACTGGTTTAGGAGCTCTTGATGATGGTTATTGTTGGAGAAAATATGGGCAGAAAGACATATTGGGAGCTAATTTTCCAAGGTGAAGCTAGTCCTGTTTGGCTGTGTTTTCGTTTTCTGTCTTCATTTTTATTTTTTGTGTTTTTGAAAAAATTATGAAATGTTTAAACACACCCGTTTTCATATCACTTTCATTTTTGTGGGAAAACAACTTTTTGTGTTTAAGGGTTGGTTTTTTAATTTTTTGACTTTTGACTATTGTCTAGGATTAAAAAGTTTTGTTTGTGATAGATTTTTTTGACTTTTTTAATTTTTGTGGGAGAAAAAATAAAATGAATATGATTTAAATGTGATATTTTGTCTTATTAAATTAAAAAATTTATTTTGTTTTTTTATGAAAATAGTAAAAAAGTCAACAAAAAACTTAACATGCCAAAGGAAGGGTTAAAAAAAGGAGTTGTTATTGGAAACAGTTTATTGAGGGTTGTTTGAGGTGTCTTAAATAAGTGTATTTTTTATCTTTTTGAATTAACAAGTTGAGGAAAAATATATGGTTGTTTGGGATAATTTTTTGACTTTTTATAAAAAAATGTGTATTAAAAAATTGTATAAATTAATGTATAGGAGAAGATCGGAAGGAGTAGGCTGTCCAATAGGCTGAAACGAGGGACAGCGTCCAGTGTTGTTTGGGAGATGATTCCCTGCGTTTTGGGCATTGAATTGGGGTGTTATTCGGCCCGTGGGGGCTTACCACGAGTCCTGTTTTGCTAATCAAAACAATATGTAGAACTCATCGAGTACTATATTCTTGTAAAATTCACGTTGATCGAATATTGATAGCTATCTGATCGGATTAGTTTGTTTTCAACCGTTAACTACGAAATCATCAATTTTATAAATTTTAACTGATTTGATCATATACTTACAGATATTCGATCAACGTGATTTTTCACAAGCATGTAGTACTCAACGAGTTCTACACATTACACGGTTCAGATTATTAAAATGAGACCCGTGATGGGCCTCTACGAACGGAACAACACCGTCTTATTTGTACACCTAAAACCTTGCAGTTTTTCCAAAAAGTGACCTCTGCCTGTTGTATAGTAGAGTTGTTTGAAATGTTATTATGTGTTAAATTAATTTTTTAATATTTTTTTAGGTGAATTGTAATAACTTATTTATTTATTTTTTTTGTAAATTTTTCACTTTTTATCTTTTTTTTCAAAGACCCAAACCAGGCCCAAATAAGACTGATGTGTTTTTCGAAAAATAAAAACAGAAAACGAAAACAAAATGCAGTTTTCGTAACATCTATCTTTTATATATTTATAAAGTAAAGCTTGTGTGGCACAAAGCAACAAGGGCGGCTTTAGATTAGGAAGACAAAATGTACAATAATGCAAAGCCTACACAAGTTGAAGTGGAAAATAGTATTAACGACATTAGAGGGAATTTGGCTTGTTTTGTATTGTTTTTGTTTTTCATGCATCTGTCCATTATGGCTTTCATTTTTGAACCACTTTTTAGTATTTCAAAAAATGCGAGTTCAAATAGAATAAAAGTCGAAAACAGTTCATCAAACAAGTTTTCTTTATTTTTCGTAAAATGAAGACAAAAATCAGAGAACAAAAAGGATGCCAAGAAGGGCCCTTTCTCTGATGTTGAGAAGATGTTAGGAACCAGGATTCATTTGAGCATTATTGCCCTTGCTTACAGGCAACTACCACCATGCCCACTTGCTCCACGGTAGGTTCAGACGGAACCACTTGACTTCTTTATTGCCCTAACCCCTGACTCTGACCCACTTGAACATGAGGCCATATAAACTATCTGAACTCAAAATCATCACTCTGTGCTCATTTGAAAAGCTGGTAAAAAGTCAACTTCTAACTTTTTATCAATTTTAGGTCACATCACTTTTTACATAACTTACTTATAAAATGACAAGAATAATGCTTGGGACCCCCTTTTGGGGGTCACCCCCCTCACCCCCCCTTTGCCACGTGGCGGGTGGTGATTGGAGGAGCAAGAAAAAAAAGAAAAAGAAAAAGAAAAAGAAAAGGTAACCAATGAGAGAGAGGGGGTCAAAGGGGGTGAAGAAAAAAGGGGGATGAATCATTGTTGAAATGACAAAATAAATTAAAAAAGCTAAAAAACTAACTTTTTATCAACTTTCCAAAACTATGTACTTTATTTTTGTTCCTTTATGGTGTGTTTGGTTGGGGGATTTGGGGAGAGATTTGGAAAGGGAAATAGAAAAGGTGTGTGAAACTATGTGAAATATATACATATTTTATTCACATTTCACCTACCTTTTCCATTTCCCTTTCCAAATCTATTCCCAAATCTCCCAACCAAACACAGCGTTAAACTACCTTTTAACATTCAAAAAATCAAGGTCGTGGTCCTAAATTTCTGTGCTCTGTGAAACTACAAAATAGGCCACCCACAGCCTGGAGCACCACTATAGCATGTGTACGTGGTGTTCCTGATCAATGAGACTTGCTAAAATGAATGGATAGGGCCGACCTTGTCTCCTACCTAGTCGACTAAGGTAGGCTAAGTTGGCTCTCCCTAGTTCATGGTTATTGTTCTTATTGGTTCGGAAAAACTATATCAGCATGCTGAGTTGGTGCTCTGGACTACTGAATAATTAATTACCCCACCACATAGTACAAGTTGAATTGTTTATTGGAGGGGAAATTCATATTAATATCAAATGCCAATTTGACAGTATATATGCAAAATCCACATGCATATATGGACAAAGTGTGCAAGATAAATATCATTTGCTTTTTTATGTGAGTGATGCTACACCGAACGATATGTTGCATTAAGACTCATCATTTTAAAACAAAGTGCCCATTAAAATGATTTTTAATTACAAAGAACCACTGCCACATCATTTTGGTGGAAAACTTTTGTATGAAAATTCTGTAAGAATAGTATTTCCTTCTTATTTGGGTGGTTCAAAGGTATCATTAATCAGCTGTTTAGATAGTTATGTATACTATAATTTCAATTCATACTGGTTTTAAATTTTGGCAAAGATGTTTCATGTTTATTTTTTTCTCTAATGAGAGTTTGTTGCTATTGCAGAGCATATTACAGATGCACTCATAGAAATGCACAAGGCTGTTTAGCAACAAAGCAAGTCCAGAGATCTGATGAAGATTCTTCAATCTTTGAGATAACATACCGAGGACGACATACCTGTATCCAAACATCTCAGGTCACCCCATCCTTGGCCCCAATCCGAAAAGACTGTCCAAAACAGAACAAATATCAGCCACAGCCACACCAAGAAGAGGAAAATCAGAGTTGTGAATTTGAAACAGAGAAAGTGAAAACTGCGGAATTGGGAATCGTGAAGGAAAATTTTCCTTCATTTTCCTTTCCTTCTGCAGAAACTGAATCTGAAAATGTAGAAACCAACATTTTTCCAGACTCCCTGAAGGAAAAGAATTTCTTGGCTAGTGATTCCCCGGCATTTGTCTCTCCAGAGACATCTGAGTCCGATTATTTCTCGATGTTGCCAATCCAAATGGAAAACTTCGAGTTCTTCCAGAACTTACGACATTCAGAATCTGATCTTGCTGAGATAATGTCAGCTCGAACTTCAGTCTCCAATTCTCCCACCATTGCAGCAGACTTGGATTTCCCACTTGGTTTTGATTTTGATCCAAATTTCACATTTGACACGTCTGAATTCTTCGCTTAACTTCGCGGAGATTCATCCCACCAAAATACCCAAATATCCATTCAAGAAAGAAAAAGAAAATGACGAAAACATAGAGAGGTTGTGATGATCCTAGCCGGTACTAAAAGAGAGATGAGAGAGAATGTTTCATACGAGTATGACATTCGAATATGGTACCTGAAAGTCTCCTATGGATCTGGCTTAAGAGAGTTTCTCTTTTCTTAGGTAGTTGTAGTTGAAGATTGATAATGTGAAATTTCACTGTTGGTGTATTTTAATCTTTTTTTTCTTTTTTTGTGTGTGTGTGTGTTAATTTGGTCCTTGTTTTTTGGCTGAAGATTAGAAATCTCTGCTTTAACATGTTGGACTGAAGTTTTGCCCATTGTACGATGTTTTAATTAATCAATTGAGTTGAATCTTATCGATTTTAATTTGATTTGTTACTCTTAATGAAAATTATTTGGATCCTCAGCATGACAGTTCACATATTTCACATGTTGGACTGAGATTTTGCCCATTTTACAATGTTCTAAATGGTCATTCAAGTTGAATTTTATTAGTTTTAATTATAATTATCGCTCTTAATGAAGATTAGTTGGATCCTTTTGTGTGACTGAAACAATCTTACAACTCCTTAAACAAGTATTTGGCAGTTTTTTTTTTGGCATTTTGAGGCATTCAATACGATGAAAAATCTTTAGTATGGAATGGAAAATGAGTTGATTTGGACAGAAAATTGTTTTCTTGACTGACTTTTTGACTATAGGTTTTTAGACTTTAAAAGAAACATTTTCATTTAATGGATTTTTTTATTTTATTTTTGTTGTTGTTGTTGTTGCTGCTGGGATAACAAAACACAACGAAAGGAAAAATTCTAGGATATCATGTGGCATGCAACATGGTGTCTTCAACCAATCACAAACACCATGGCCTTCCATGTTGTCTCTCCATCACCCAACATATAAATATAGCTCCTATCTTTCAATCAATGAGAGAAGAGAAAGGTATCACATGGCACCTACCATATCTGCACGAAAAAGACAAAGAAATTTGTAATTTTTTGCCTTATCCCTTGAAACAAAGGCCAACCCAATATAACTGGCTAGAATCATTGGAAAGGCCTATATTAATATGGGTCTATGTTGAGAAGTTCTAAAATAATTACTGGGCTTTGTGGCCCATTACCGATATGTACAAATTGGTGTGGTGGCCCATTTGTTTGGGCCTACAGGTGCTTGTGGTTTGTTGTTTGATCATGCTTCAAGTTAGAAACCAAGTGTATGTATAGTAATATTACACATTAAAAAATATCAATATATGTGGTTCATATCATTCTACATACTGCCACCGCAATACACTCATTTTAATCTTTACCACACACTTAAATTATAGGCAAAAATCTAGACCCAGAATTCCCAGACTTATTATTGTATGTATGCTATGGCATTTGCAATTAGTGACCCACTTGCAATTAGTGACCCACTCTTGCGAGTTAAGATTTCCACCCTGCACTCCCTTTTTGTATTTCTTATTTGCAGGTCATTGGCCCAACTTTTAAGCTTAATTTTAATAATTCGAACTGTTCATATTTTAAGATTTGTTTAGTATATCATACTTGCATAAAATCAAGTTGATCGGATATCAGAAAGCATGTGTTCGGAAAACTGTTTATTAAATTTTTTTAAAAAATATAGTTTTTAGTTCGACTTTTCCGAACATATGCTTTCTGATGTCCGATCAACTTGATTTTTTACAGGTATAATATACTGAACAAATCTTAAAATATTAGCGGTTCGGATTATCAAAATTGGGCATAAAAGTGGCCCAATAGCCCTACAAGTAGAAAATGATGCAAGGAGGGGATCGTTGCTCCACTTTTGCAACCCGTGAAGTGGAAGTTCCTGTTAAATGCATCATAGAAGATGGAGGGGTTAACTTGTTCGATCAAATATTTTCTTATTATGTGTAATGTATGAATTTGAGTCTTACTATTGCGCGGTCCAATTTCTTCATTTCTCAGAGCATCTTCAATGGTTCATTTCTTTCTTCACTAAATCTGAGTAAAAAATAGTTCATTTTCTCAATCTAATACAGCGAGCTCCAACAGTGTACATCAAAAGGAAATGGTCGTCCGGGAAGGCTTGTGCACAGATACAAGCTTTGGGTTCAAAGATACGAGCTTCACTTGTAAACTATTTTTCAGTAGATTTTGTACTCGCAACAAACAAAACCGTAGTAGCTCCGATCTCCAATCTCCAATCTCCCCCATTTTTGTTTTTTCCATTTGGGTTTGTAAAGCCGCGCCAAGAGGTTTAGTGGGTTTGTTTGATTTTGGCTACTTTTCTACCAAAAAGAAAAAGAAAAAGAAGGGGGGTTTAGTGGGTTTCTCTATCCTCCATATTGTTTTTGGTTTTTTTTGTTATCAGTAGATTCGGGAGAGTTTTTGAGCTGAGGGAAGTGTTTGTGAACAAAATGAGGTGTTTTGTTTCCAATTTTTCTGATTTTTGAGTTTTGGAGTGAAACACACATTTGGGTATTGTGGAGATCTGGGACTTGTTTCAACTCTTATGTCCCATGAGGATTTTCTTTCCCTCTGAATCTTGTAAAGAAGCACAGCTCAATGCTCTCAATCCACAGTTATGGCTACAAGTTGAAAGAGGGAAATTTTCCAAATTCTCATCTCAGTCAGAGGTTGAACATTTTTGAGCATTGAAGCCCAGCAGTGGAGTAGATTGAAGCAGAATGAAGCAGATTGAAGCAGCTGTATGTACGGGTCGATTGATGGGTCAACCGGCCGGACGTCTAGCAGGTTGACCGGTGGCCCCACTTGCAATGTTACAGCACAGTGAATTGGTGAAGACTCACACAGATTCTCAGTTTGGTGAAAAATTTGCTCCGTTCTCAGTTTGATATTAGTTTGGTGAAACTATTGGAACAGAAAAGATGAGTTTTTTTCATCAAATTCAAATTTGATACTGAATCTAATGCAACGTTGGAGATGGTCTTAGTTCTTTGACGGTAAGCAAAATGAAAAAAAAAAAAAAAAAAAGGTGGACTTACAGATGATTTAGGCAGAAAAAAAAAAAAACGAAAAATAGAATGCATTGTAACTTTGCATATCTAGTCAATGTGAGTATAGAGTGTTCATGACTAGCATGAAGTGTAAGATAATCTTAATTAATACTTATGATGTGTGTATATATATTTGTTAGGCTATTTTTTAATAGTTCTGAATTTTTGAGGTAATCAGTAATCTAATATAGTGTTAAAATTTTGATTTCAGCAGGTTTTGAATTTAAATTTGTAACTCTTTTATCTCTATCATTATACATTTTATTCTATCTATATTCGTATATTTTGTTTACTCCATAATTTATCTCTTTACATACGAAACAATATTGCATGTGAAAAAAAAAAATTATCTTAAGGTATGTTGTTGGGTCAATTCTTAATATTCTTTGAGACAATTTGTGATTTAACTTATTTAATTTCATTCATCCACCCACCTACGACAAAAATGTGAGATTTTAAAATTGGAAGTGGCTTAACTAGCCCAATTTTGACAGGGAAAATTGGTTGGACAGGAGAAAAAGAATAATGATAGGACTAGCATAATACCTCTATTAAGCACGGATATAAATAAATAAATAATTAAAATATTAAAATTAAAATTAACTATTAATAAAATTAAATTATATATAAAATATACTATTACTTTTCAAGTTGTGACTAGGAAGTTTTAATATTTAATTAAAATACTAAAAAGTAGTTTAGAAATGGATTGGGCTTCATTATAGTCTGTGATTGGATTATTGGAGGGTACTATTAGACCCATAGCGGCCACCACAAGTTGCGATAATCTAAATCGTTCAATATGTACAACTAGTCGAGTACTATATGCTTGTAAAAAATTACGTCGATCGGTTATCGATAGTTATCTCATCGAATCAAATTTATGTTAACCATTTATTTTTTTACCGTTCATTTTTTTATACAAAACTCATTTGATCACATAGGTATTGATATCCGATCAACACGATATTTGTTGGTATCGAGTATTCGACGAGTTCGACACATTGAACGGTTCAGATCATTGAAACGGAACCCGTGATTGGTCTTCACGGACCCAACAGTACCCTACATCGGACTGGAGGGAAGCCAGCATCTTTAGAAATTAAGTTTGAGTTGATTTTTATGCCAACAATTCTTAGCTAAAGTCAACTCATTAGACAATTATCTTGGTTCATATCTAATCCATTGGTTCATATCTAATCCATAAGTTACTTGGTACATGTATTTGTTTAATTTTTAATTGATAAATACATTTGAAAATATTTTTTATAACATAAATTGAAATATGTATATGTAGTAATATTTTTTGAACTATAATTAAGAAAATATATATTTATTTTTAAAATATGTCTAATATATCTATTGTACCAATATCAAAGTATATTTACATCTAAAAAATTATATAATACCAGATCAAATTAGCCATTTTTTTCATTTTTTTTTTTAAAATCTTAGAACATGAACAAAAAGTGATGGCTTAATTTAAAAAATATTTTATAATTATAAATTTAAATTGTATCATTTTTTTATTTAATATTTTTCTCAATAGAATTAGATCCTTTGATAATTAAAATTTATAGCTAAAATTTTTATTTCCTATCATTTGAATATTTTTAAATTATATATAATTAAACACTCATTTGGATTTTTCTCTTAAATCTCAAATGAAATGTAACTTAGACATGGTTAAAATTTATTTTTGACTTTTCATTTAGAAATTTTTTAATTTGAAAAAAAATAGATAAGCCAATAGTTTAATACATATATATTTTATGCTACATTTTAAAATTTTAAAATAAGAAATAAATAGAAGACTTAAATATGATTAAAAAATGATATAATTAAAAATACATGTATTTTTAAGCACAACATATTGTTGGTAAAAACTTAATTTAGGCCCAATCCACAGTGATTGATCGACAGGTTTCAACTAATTTTAATAAACACAAAAAGATCAGGTTGAGTCGTATGCCTTAAATAGATTAAGGATTTTCTTGGAGGTAATTGAGTAAAGAAGAAATTGAACCGAATAGAATATGTATTAATTCGAATAAATTGTCACTTGTCACTAGTTATAAGAATTTAAAGAAAAACAAAAAATTAAATAAATACAACAATTGACAGAAAAAAAAGAAGAGATATGGGAGAGGGGCTTGGAAAAACTATTTGTTTAATCTACTCCTAAAATGCTTAATTTAGAACTACTCCTAAATAACTCTGCATGAGTGTGTTTGATGGTTGATGATTGGTTCATTGATCTTTGTATCTCTCTTGGCCTATTTATAGGCTCAGCTACATGAGAGAAAGAGATATCCTAAACTCACGATTTCCTCAACAAACTCATGATTTTCTCAACATTATCCA